GAGAGAGAGAGAGAGAGAGAGAGAGAGAGAGAGAGAGAGTTCACTCACACCAGCCCTGCAATCCTAGCAGACTGTGCATATATCCATCCGGGACTCTAACAACACGGCCAGAGGTGTCCGCTCTAATCGTCAGATTAGAGTGTGCACCCGACTATATCGGGAAAACATTCATTTATATTACTTGGATCAAGTTGGATGGATAAATCCCCAGGGAAGTCCGTGTGTGTGCGTGCGCGCAGATGTGTGTGTGTGTGTGTGTGTGTGTGTGTGTGTGTGTGTGTTTGTGTGTGTGTGGGGGGGAGAGAGAGATCGAGAGAGAGGTTGTCATATTCACTATCCACGCAAAAAAAGCATGATTGTGCAAGACTGTGTCGCCGGACTGTCAGTCTTTCACCCATCATCAGGAGGGTTAAACCACAACAGTCTGCCCTCTGTGTGTGTGTGCGTGTGTGAGAGAGAGAAGGGGGGTGGGGTGAAGCCATTGACAATGTCTATTCCAGAGAAGCAGCCTGTTAGAACTTAGAAAGGATCTACCAGTCCATCATTGTACAGTTAGTTCATTTCGAGTGGCCTATTTGTCATGATGATTTCAACAGGTGCACAATTAATCTCTACCTCAAGCTGCCTCTTTGCAGTCTGCATGCAGTTCTTCTTTTGCTTCACTTTTTTCCCGTCTATTCACACCCAGCAGCCTCTTCTAACGTGGCATCTAAAGCCAGGTACATGCTCAGCATAGGTCATTGCAGGCAGAGGCTTCCACCACGGACCACCGGCAGTTCTCCTTTCTTTCCTAGACCAGAGAGACCCGCTGACTGTTACCTGCGCTTCACGGCCACCTTATCGGGGTAATAGTCTTCTTACCCTTATCGGGATACTTTTCTTAGACCCTTCACGGTGGAATCCATCACAACAAAAAGAGAGAGAGAGAGAGAGAAGCCCCCCACAACAGTTTAACCACCAATGCACCCCGTCTCGGAGGCGCCACACTGCACACCAAGCTTTTGAAGAGCGCCAGTGGCCCCCCTTTTTCATTTCTTAGCTGGCGCTGCCACCAAATGCCGTCTGGTAAATACCCGGGCTGGCTACTCCAACAAATTTGTGCGCGGCTGGGATGTGTACTGGGTGGTGGATTAAAAATCGCAAAAGCCTGACCACCTCCCAAGATACATCCAACCCCTAGCGAAGCCGTACGAAAAACAATTGCTGGAAAGGAGAACCACTCTAACAATCAACTTTTAGTTTCAAAAAGGCGTCTGCTGGACGAAATTCCACAGGCGTATCACCCTTTTCCATAGAGGCTCGCACGCAGAACGATTACAGCAAAGACTGGACTGGACTTTCGTTGACGGGGAAGCTAGAAACTTAGAAAGAATCGAATATGTTTTACTCTACACAGCCTGAAGCAACAACTCCCTCAGATCCTGGAGCGGATGAGACCGAATATGTTTTTTCTCTTTTATACAGAACCTCATGGTTCTGGCTCCTGCCATTCTGGGGAGCAACAGTCCGGTTCCTATTCCCCCGGCAAGTCGATGAATGGTACAAGGTTGACTCACACCACGCTCCTCCCCATTAAGGTTGAGAGGCCCGAGTGGGCAGCATTGATTGCTTCCTTCGAGAAGGATGTACCACCCCTCACCCCTGCCTAAGTGAGCCTATTGCAGCTAAGCTTTTTGTACGGTATGAAGTCGACTCTTCACTGGGCCTTTCGATTCACAGTTACAAAAGACCCAGAAGGGTTTACTACGGTCTTGAATACACACCAAGGCAGCACATCCTCAAATGCACATCATGTACCCCGATACATCCAACCAACCCCTACGAATACACCACCAGGCAACACATCGTCAAATGCACGTATACCCCCAGTCCCGAATCGTGCGCCCCTGCACATGGCCACCCAGGACAATATTAAAAAGAACAACAGAAGACGTTACAAACTATACCTCTAGTTCTTTAACCCATTTGGCAGCCCGGCTTAACTGGATCAAGTCTCCCTTCTTTTTATTCTTTGTCGTCCTTTCCTCCCTACTTCGGGTGTAATATTTCAAATGTCTCTCTGTATGAATGTACATGACATGCCGACGAGGTTTGTTTCAATTCACGGATGTTGACATGCGACGATATGCATGTATACCGGATCAGGAACCTGGCACTGTCTTCGTGCCAGATTCATTTTCCGGTAGGTCTTTCCCACCAGACGGAAAACGTTTGGGCACGAAAACCCACAAAGGTTTTCGCGTGGGCAATTCCACCGATTGTCCCATTACCTTGGCACTCCCAGCAAGCCTGCAAGAACATGGGATGTCGACGGATTGGCAATGACCGCCCTAATAAGACCCCCTAAGAGAATAATAATGTCGGACGTAAGCCTAGAGGTTGCTAGTGGTTACTTGTTTTTTTTTTTTTTTTTTTTTTTTTCAACTCGTAACTTTCTACATTCGCACTCGAATCCTTGACCTGTGGCATGAAATGCCTCAGGATTGCTAGATTCACACTCAAGAGCCTTAAAGGACCACTACCTTTCTCACTGAAACGCTATGTCCCAAGTTGAGCCTCGTCCGAAATAATCACCACAGGGCGGCCATCGATAACTTTCATGGGCAGCGCCCGGCCTGGGAATTTGAATTTTCAGGCCCACGGACGGCCCCATATGAGAAAGGTAGTCGTGTTTTGACCGCTTTCTCTACTGCAGAGCAGGGCACCAGACATGGTCTGGTCTGGTCTGAGTCTGGTCTGGTCTGGTCTGGTCTGGCCTCCGGACATCCCGACTGGGTCTGGATGTCTGGAATATGGATCTAAGACGGACCAGGGGTTCATTTTCCCAGCTCAAATTAGGTCATGAATGAATTTCCAAATTACCAAGACTACCAGAGGGACCCTGGGTCACTTGCCCGGCCGGGCCAAGAATATTTTTTAAATTAAAAAAAAAAAAAAAAACTTACTTTTAAATTTTATTTTATATTTTAAATTTGGTAAAGAAGAATTTCGAAGTGACCCTGACGCAAAAGTTGTTCAGTTTATTTCTCTGCATAACATAGTTTTCTTTCGGGAGTTTTTGGTGTTGTTCAGTTTATTTCTTTGCATAACATATTTTTCTTTCGGGAGTTTTTGGCTTCTCTTTTTCTTTTGCTGAGACCTCCCTTGTCCTTGCACGGGCTGGCCACCCGGGACCCGGGCGACCCAGCTGGCAGCCTAGCCTAGCAAATTACCCATCGCAAATTCAAAATCCAACTCTTCAAAAGTGAATACAGATGGCTTACGGTGAACAAAAATCAGCGTAACAATAGTACTGCTATTTATCTATTTAGGTGCACTACGTTTTCTATTCTTTTCTGCAGATGTAGCTTCTCTTTTTGTTTGTATAGGTCTCATAAATATACCAATAATGARATTCTCTGTAAATTGGTGGAACACTTTGCATCAACCTTCTAGTATTAGCCAATTTGGTACATCAATACATCTTTCTATGCTGATACCCATCTTTCTGATGTTTACTAGCTTTTTGTTGTCAACTCTGATTTTTCTTCTGATAGAAACACGAACCGCAACAATGTGACCGGAGAGGGGCAGATGGTGGCCGTATATCTATCAATAATAAGCCGGGTCTAGGGGTTCATCTATAGGTAGAGGGGCAGATGGTGGTAGAGGGGTACATCTGTCTATAGGTAGAGGCACAGATGGTGGCCGTACATCTACCGATAATAAGCTAGAAACTCTACGCTGCAATTACACCAACAATGGTATATATAATGAAGAACACAACAAGATACAAGCAGAACAATGAATGGGACTTGCAGAAGAACATCTATGCCTACCTTCTTCCCCCGAATACAACGCACGGTCTTCATAGCTGAATTTAGGGCATCTTTCAGTCTACATACAGCTATAATGACCGAGCGTCGTATTCGGGGGAAGAAGACCGTAAGTTGTATAATGCTAGTCCGGAAACTTCTCGACGTACTTCTTTGAGTATACGTTGTTCTTCCAGATGAATAGCGCTCGAAGTACCCAAACTGTAGGTCTCATCCGACTACGCTTTTCAGGGGAAGAAGGTGGCGCTCGAAGTTCCCAAACTGTAGGGCTCGGCTGACTATGCTTCAATCAGGGCAGAGCTGGGTCGATCCGGCTTAGCCCTGGTGTCACTGTCTTGCCAGGCCACCCGCATTGAGATGATAGGAGGGTGATTATCCTGATGATACACGCTGAGGTACAATTGTGGGAGTATGGATGTGCCAGGGAGAAATAATGAGGGGAGGCTTGGGAGGGAGTCACATAAGGAATAGGGACCTCCACAGACCATCTGAATAACCGAAGGGCCGACGACGAAGACTGGCATCCAACCTCTACAACAACCTTGACCTAAAAAAAAAAAGAACGAAAAAAGAAAAGAAGATGGAGAAAGGAGAAAGAGAGACTCACCATGTAAAGAACAGAACGCAATTTCACATTAAGTAGAAACATGCCAACTACCAATGGCCCCAGCTTAGTCAATACACCCATGACCGGTTGAAATGCAGACCCCAGTTCGAATCCTGATGGACCTGGATGAATGCAATGAAATAATTCTGAGTCACCTGGTGCCGGTCAGCTCACATATCTAAAGGCCGTAGCACTCACATAAGAGAGAGGAGGAGGTGATAGAACGCATATCAAACATTGACAGGTGGCAGGCACTGTAGCTAAAAGTCAAAAGCAGCATACACACATTATGTCCACTGTAGGAACCGATTAAGCTGGAGGCGAGAACGAGGGGGTAGAGGGGAGATGGACAAGGTGAGGTGGAAGAGGAAAAGCGGAGACAAATCAAATCACCAGCAAATGGAGGTATCACACTACGAAAATAGTCTGCGGGGAAAACCGTCTTCCTTTCAAAAACAGTCCTGTCAGCCCTGACACAGGCTGAAATAACCCAGCCAAGACCCCTTTATTTCCCACACTGGTCTTCGTGTCTACAGGATTTGCACACCTAGACAGTAGCCATGCCCGTTCTTCTGATCAACAGAACTTGTAGAAGCAGCTTCTTCCACAGTCGCAAAAGCCGGCACCGCAGCTTCTTCCACAGTCACAAAAGCCGGCACCGCAGACGACGATGTGCATGTCCAACTGCTGAACAGGAAGGCTGAAGATTGATCAGACAAACTTCAGAAAGTTAAAACTCACCTAAACTACACAAGGGAAAGAAAATAGATGTCTCCAGCTACTGCACATAAAGAGAATAGAGGAGATCTCTCCAGCCTAAACTACACAAAGTAAACAGCATACACTCGAGCTACACATGGGGGAGGAGGGGCCAGTGGGAAGGGAGGGGCAAGGGATCGAAAAACCAAACACCAAAGAATCAGCTGCACAACTACGATGAGTACAGACTTACACAAGCGGACGAGGGCAAAAGATTGGCACGGAGCCCGTATCATGAAAGGGCTCCACACCCAAGCCATGGGGAGGAAAAGAAGTGTTAGAGGAGCATGGCTAAATGGGCAGGCATCGACTATCAACTCCACACAGACACGGAGCATTCCCTACAACAGAGTGCAGACACGCCGATGAAGAATGGGTTGTGCCTGATCGATGGAGAGAGGAGGGAAAAAGAGAGAGGAAGCCTACCTGGTGGCCAATCGGAAGCAGCAATTATGCAGCTGCTGCATGAAAAATCTCCCTCAGCACTGCACAAGGCAATACTGGGGACTGTACAAAAGAATATGCTTTGTCTCACTTTGCTGGGGCGACACGTTGATCCTGCGGAGAAGCAAAAGGGAGGCAAGATGAAGAACCACTTTGCCTGAAGAACCACTTTGCCTTCCTTTCTGTTTCGTCTAGGCCGGAGGCTGAAGATCTCAGCAACTACACATTTCTCGCTATTACTGCATAAACGACACTGCAACAGTCTACACAGAAAATGCAGAAAAAAAAGTCAATTCAGATCTGCAGGTCTACATACTACTAGACACGTTGATCCTGCAGAGAAGCAAAAGGGAGGCAAGATGAAGAACCACTTTGCCTGAAGAACCACTTTGCCTTCCTTTCTGTTTCGTCTAGGCCGGCGGCTGAAGATCTCACCAACTACACATTTCTCACTATTACTGCATAAACGACACTGCAACAGTCTACACAGAAAATGCAGAAAAAAAAGTCAATTCAGATCTGCAGGTCTACATACTACTAGCCACACTTCAAACCAAGAGCCAATCTACAAGCAATTCAGGAAACAACAAAACACACACACACACACACACACACACACACACACACACACACACACACACACACACACATACAAAAAAGAGAGTCACTGCTCCCAGTCTATACTAGGGAGTCCTCAAGCTTGCAAAACTCTCCGACAGGCCGCTGCTGGAACATAGTAACCATTCCCCCGGACGAACAATGTGGGACAAGTGTCATTCCATTTCCTGGACAGAAACTTCAGTCATTCCTTATCGTGCCCTTCCCCCCTTCGTTACCTGTGCCTGCTGCGTTCGACAGGTTCTCCACTCTTGGAAAGCTTCTCCGCAAATCTTCATCAGAGCTCTTGAACTCACAAGCCAACTTTCCTCAGAGCGCTCACAGCTCTCGTGGTTGTTCCAACATCCCTGAACACTCTGTGCTTGCTGCGCTTGACAACCCTCCCCGGCAAAAAGCCAAACTGATGCCGAGCTGCGCTCACTCCCCTCGCCGCAACCTGCAGTCTTGGGGCAAACCAGATCAAGTTCTCTGTCGGCTGACTGTTATCACTTGACTGACAACAGATGTGTCCAGTCCCCCTACAACAACTCGGCGGTTGCCTTCTCACACAATCGCTACAACCACACTTCATCCACTACCCTGATCTTCCCATGTATGCGCACGTTGCCAGCTACAAGGCCATACGCACACCTGGTTTTTGCAGAATGAGTTGGAAACATCCAGCGAAGTACTAGTGGGAACATGTACTAACCACACCCCAATTCAGCGTATAGACAGAGACCCACTGAAACCAGACTGGAAGAACGCACTGGATAGACATGAATTCCACAAACACTCTAACTTGGATTTGTATACTGAATCTGGCTGCGCTCGAGATCAGATCCAGTCACATCCTCATGTAAGCGCGCCCTTTATGGCCCTCACTGCGACTCTACTTCGCCAAAACAATCGAACTCAGGGCATCATATAGATAGAGAACTGCGTAGACCACAACGCAAGAACGGACTAAATGCAAGTGCGCCCTTTAAGATGGCCCTCACTGCGACTCCACTTCGCCAAAACAATCGGACTCACGGCATCATATAGATAGAGAACTGTGTAGACCACAACGCAAGAATGAACTAAATGCAAGAAGGGTTAAAAAGGGACTCCATGCATTCTAGGCATCACATAGATAAGAGGATTGGCTAGACCGCAATTGTGAAAAGGGTACAGATAAATGCAGCTATCAGATCACATTACCTTCACCTGGACGATCTTTTTGTGTACACACATCTTCCACCTGATTAAACTGAGGACACTCACCTTGAATTGATCCCCCCAAATGGGGGACCATGCGAGTATGTATGTCCTTTAACCGCATCATCTGCAGCTGCAGTCCACCCAACTGCAACGCATGCAGTTGCTATCAAAGACGACTTCAAAAAGATCTCCGACACGTACACAGCCAATGCACACAATGATCCCTATTTCCTCTTAGTGCTGCTGCATACATAAACACTTGCCTCCCTGCACAAACTGACTGCAATTGCCATACCAACCGCACGCTATGGACGCTTCCTTTCTTCTGGAAGACTTCAAAAGGGGTTACTGGAAGACTTCAAAAGGATGCTGTTCAGATGCCAATGGACGCTTCCTTTCTTCTGGAAGACTTCAAAAGGGGTTACTGGAAGACTTCAAAAGGATGCTGTTCAGATGGCATTCGGCATAGTACAACCCACCTTAGGGTGCTTCATTGACTGGGAGCAGCTGAAACAAACGCCTGCGCCCGAAGCCATGCCCGAAGCCATCCACCCTGACGAAGGCGGTGAAACAAACGCCTGCCCGAAGCCATGCCCGAAACCATCCACCCTGACGAAGGTAAGCTTTCGGCGGTGAAACAAATGCCCACACACATCTTCGATCCACCCCCGTGAAGTTCAGCTTTCAGCGAACCTGCCCCATCACCCCAAGAAAGACCACTTCCAAGCACGATCCCGTATTTCCTCCTCAATGGCCTGATCTACGACTGTTCTATCCTATCACAATAATCTGAGAACACGCCGCCCACAGCCCTCCCTGAAATGATACCCTGGTCAATCACGTTCAATGCGCAGCAACAACTCCAAATCAGAAGGGAGTTCACCACCACATAAACAGATCACAAGTGGACTCTTGCCCTGTTGTCAATGCAAAGGAAATGTTATACAGGCAGGGTTCATCCTATCATCTTCCCAAAGGCAGATGCACAGCGAAACCCTCGTCCTGTCATTGCAGCGGCTGGAGAATCACATATTTTGTTGGGATTCCTTATACCCTCCCACCACCATGGGGCCATTCTCAAATGCCTACCCTGTTATCGGTAGACAAGCAAATGTCTTCAGCAGTTTATCCTGTCTTTGATCCATAAGGGATAAAAGACTGTACAAGTTGAAGCCACTTACACGGGTTCTGCTGGCAGTTAGCGGACGAGTTTGGAAATCACCCCTCGTTCTGGACATTCCCCCAGTGTCTGCCATCTCGCTTCTCAAGATCACCACCTGTTCCCCAACGCAGCCCCGTCCTTCATGCTTGACAGCCCACCTGAAAACTAGCAAACACACACCAGTGTCTGCCATCTCGCTTCTCAAGATCACCACCTGTTTCCCAACACAGCCCCATCCTACATGCTTGACAGCCCACCTGAAAACTAGCAAACACACACCATCAGCAAGCAAGGACCCTTCACAATGTGCTGTGGACAAGCACGGGCATCCAGCCTCCAGTGACATCACTCTCGTGGGAAGGCTTCCTCGTCCTCGGTGACCTTAAATGACTGAGGTGGTTCACAATTACAATGCAGTCTCCACATGTTGAATAGAACTCTCTCCAGGTTGCAAACCTGCATACAAGCAGACACAAAACATACTAGGTTTTAGGGCAGAGTTATCGAACACACCAAATAAGCCCCCTCCAAAAGCCTCGCGTGAAAGTTGGGTGAATAAAGCCATCTTCACAAACATCTGTTCTGGTCCTTTTAGTATCTGATCATTTTAATCAGCTGTGCAAAAGGCACGCAGCAACAATCACAGCGAAAGGGGAACCAAAAAAAAAAAAAAAAGCAAGGGAAAAAAACTAGGTTGTTGGATCGGAAGTCCGGGACCCCCCTGACCGTCCGGGATGTCCGACCGGACGTCTGACCGGAAAAAAAGTTCTCAGAAAAATCTGAAAAAACAATATGTTATGTAACATAACAATACAAGCAACTTTTGCCTTGGAGTCATGTTCAAATCCGCAGTCAATCATGAGTTAAAAATCGAAAACCGAAAATATATATATATATATTTTTTACAAAAAAAAAAACTTCTTTTCCCGGACGACCGGGGTACCGGACGTATGGGGGAGACGTCCGGGGGAGACGACCGGCCCCCGGACCATTGGTAACCTAGGGAAAAAATGAAAAGAATGAAAACAGAAAAAAAAAAAGGGGCAATGGCCATACCACTCTCCGTCTTTTGTCTAACATCAGAGTAGTATTTGTTGAATTTTGTTCTGATCATTATAATATATGATCCATGACCCGCCAAGAAATAACAAAAACGATACTAGGATACCTGTTGCCGCTTCGCTCGTAAAGAAAAAGGGGGAAAATTGAGAACATGCACGGGGTTTCTTCCTTTTTTTCGGGGGTGGGTGGGGTCGATGTGGAGTTGAAGCTCACCTGTGCATTGTTGTAGATGCAGTTGTTGTAATGCTGCTTGATTTTTGAAAGCCTTTTTTATTTTTTCCCAAGAGATTCTCTTCTGTTTTGGCGGGCGGAGGGGGCAGGGCGTCGAAGCTGGAGCGTGGGCAGAGTGGAGGCGTGGAAGGTGGAGAGGGAGCCACAGCAGAGCGCAGTGGAGGAGCGGAAGGTTTGGAGAGAGAGAGAGAGAGAGAGAGAGATTAAGGGAGGCGCAGAGCGCAGGGGATGGGGGAGCACGGGTCGAGGGGGGGCGTTTTTGTTTTCTAAGCAGGGTCGGTGAGAGGGGGGGGGGACGGAGCGGCTGAGTGGAAGAGGAGCTTCAGAGCTGGAGCGTGGGCGGAGTGGAGGAGCGGACAGGGAGCACCAGCAGAGCGCAGAGTGGAGGAGTGGGAGTTGAGAGAGAGAGAGAGGGAGAGAGAGAGAGAGGTACATAGCACAGGGGAGGTGGGGGGAGCACCGACGGATGGGGGGGGCCGGGCAGAGAGGATGTAGTTCTTTCTTTTCCTTACGTGAGGAGAGGATGGTGCGGGCGGGCACTGGGGGAGTGGGGTGCACTGGTTATGGACAGACACACACACACACACACACACACACAAAGAGAGATGAGAGAGGTGAGCGGAAACCCGGCGGAGGGGCAGCGTTAGCGCTGGCCGAGGAAGGTGCGCGGGCTGTGTGCGTTGTCATATTCGCTATACACTCAAAAAAAGCATGACTGTACCAGACTGTTTCATCGGACTTTCATCGACTCATCACGAGTCGGAGTGATGTGTGTGTGTGAGAGAGAGAGAGAGACGGAGGCGGATGGAGGGAGTGAGAAGCGGGTGGAAGAGGGAAGTGGCCACTGACCTCAAGTCTCCCATCTTCGAGCAGTTTTCATGTGTCAACGTTCCACCAATGCATACCATCAGCGGGCCCACCACAATCCCCCAAGGGCCAGGCCGCCCACATTCCCCACGGGCCAACTGCTCAACCGAGAGAGAGAGAGAGAGAGAGAGAGAGAGCTTCACGACAAAGACGGGCGTTTAGACAGGCACTTTCTCAAAACAAACGACGATGGGCGACGGGCGCTTTCTTAAAACAATGCTTCACGACGAAAGAGAAACTGATTCCGTTGGCCTGTTTCACTTTCAAAGCGAAGCTGCGCCGCACCGCGTTCAAACTGGCTGTGGGACCCGAGCTGCGGGACCCAGTCACAAAGCTGCGATTTGCACCAGGCTCTACATGCTCGTCGGCCAGGATTGATGTGGTCTTAAGATCAGAACACCGTGTCGATCCAGCCGTCGGTTCGGTAGGTCCGGACGGCCCAGATCACAGATTTGTTACATTCTTTCGATGATCGCATTGATCTGGCCCGTCGGTCCAGCAAAGCCCTACGACCCACATCGCACATTTCTTACTTTCCAGCGTCGATCCACGACGTGCGCCGGTAGGACCAACGACGGCCCGGACCTCAGATTTGTGACACTAGCGATTTTAATAGTCTAGGGAAATCCAAAGATATCGCACTGGGAGCTTACGAAACGATTCAATTTCCTCACAACACAGATCAGATGATGGCAAAGCTCGGTGGGGGAGGGGGAACAGGGAGATCAACCTTCAGGATGACCTAGGGGTACAAACCTACAAAGCGTATTACACACGTCAGTAAGAAGCTCAGACTCCGAATCGCGGTGAGCCAGTCTCAGCTAGATGAATTGATTCTCCGTTTCACCGCTTCTAAATTCATTTCCAAAACTAATCTTAAAACACCACGAGCAGCTGGGTGTCGAGGTCCAAAATTGAAAGTCAAATTTAAGTCGGAGCCTACGGATGGACTTATCAAAGGGAATATTCTACCACCTTAGTTACATGTGCTCACAGGGAAAGCTGTTTGGTGATGATCAGACTTGAACCCGATAACTTCATACTTGCAGTACAACATCGTGAGTTCCACCGCTTGAACAGATGCAAATTGGCTCCACCACAAAAGGGTAAAGGGAATCCAAGCATGGAATTCGGTAACTGACCCATCGCTGTGTATCAAACAGTGGACATGTGAGCCTCCCATTCCTCAGTTTCCTCTTCAGCAAATACCGGAAATCCGCATTCAGCCCAAGCATAACTGCTCTTTCTTCATACTCTTCCTCACTGCAACATTCATATGGAGCACAATCAGTCCAAGCATATCACTTTTCCACTTCCCAAAGTTTAGTCCACCAAATATAAAGAGCTACCATCACCCCTCAAACCGCTACTGTCTTCAGCCGAATAGAATGCCCGGTCACTACAGCTGTATAGGGGAGACCTTCCAGTCCAGATACAGCGATAATGCCCGCGCATTCTATTTGGGTGAGAAGATGCATCGCCAAACACGACTCATCTCTTCAGGCTTCTTCGCCAAGCACAACTGAGACGTTGCACATGTTTGCAAGAAAGCCACAGCACAGCACCAAATTCAGAAAAGCCTGCCATTAGGCGCCCTCTATTTTACATACCTCCCAGGCAAATGTGGTTTGCATTATTATTTTGGCAACTGTACATATCATTTTGTTTTTCAGATTTTTCTACGAAACTTTTTTTTTTAAGGGTCTTCAATATCGAAATGAAATTATACTAGAGAAACAAGGCAAAAAAAAGAAAAGACGTAACATTTTGTTTTTCAGATTTTTCTAAGAAACTTTTATTTTATTTTTTTAATATTGTATGTTCTCGTTCATCCACAAATGTTCAGATCACTTTGGCGCTTACTCACGTTCAGAGGGTTTTCGCACTCGTTCGCGTTCAGTCACCGAGCAAAAACGCAATGCTACACAGGTCAGTTCCATATCCTGCAGGTTGATTGTGCAGGTTGATATTTATCCACACATTTCCTCTTCAATCGCAACAAAATTTGTGAAACTAAAACGTATTTCCGGCAATATGGATGAACAGCGGAGAAGCCCAACAATGATTGCAATACGTAGTTTCTGCGCCCCAATAGAAAATTGTCAAATCTCTCTCGCAACTTTTAATTTGTTTTTCTATTAGCTAAACCTCTTCTTGTTCTACGCATAGAAAAACCATCATTTATTTGCACACACACAAATGACTGAAGCTTTGAAAACATATATGCAAATTTCCCTAAGCTTCACCCTTTTTTTTTGTTTTCCTTTTTTCAGTTATCAAATTTGGTGTTTTGTTATTCCTAGTTGTTACAAAACACGAAGGGTCCAATGGACAAAATTGTTCTATTTGAGTGTAATTTCTTTCTTGTTTTTTTTTTTTTTCTTATTCGCCATCAATCCACTTTGTGGTGCGCTCGCCGTCAGTAACCTGGGCATGCAGGAAGACCTATCCTGGGTGGCCAGGTTCAATCTGTTGCGCGTCCAGATGTCCCAGGTACACACCACTTTTTTCCAGGTTCCGTACAAACAATACTCTCCAACAACGTGCCAAACACGCAAGACAGGTTGGATACATTCCTTGCCTCTAAAAAACCATAATCTCAAATGCAATTAATAACGAGGACATGAACCCCCACATGTGTGGCATATCAAACACTGGCGAGTACAGCACCTCTGACTACCAACTCCATTGTGTTGAATCGTGCAAAATTAAAATATATTTGCAATTGAAAAAGTGAAAACGACGTCCAATGTATTCAAAGACTGTCTACGGTTCCACCAACTGGCTGCACTGTTGAGCTGCACTGTTGAAGTACAGACTCAAGCCACTGGACACAGACAAATGAAATATTGTGTGAATTACCTTGGAGCACTCAGTTCAATGATATCCAAAGACCGCCGCCGATTCTACAGAAAAGAAAAGAAAAAAAGAAATGGGATGTCTACAATTCCATCAGCGAGACCGTACCTTGAAACCACACACTCTTTCAATCCTGCCGCGATGCATAAGGACGATGCAACGCGAGTAGCCATCTTCTCAAGAGGCAATGTCACCATCGGGCACCCAGCCCAGAGAACATCTGTCCCTGTTGTGTGTGCATTGCAAAGAGGGCTGTCAAAAACATCATCCAGTATGAAAGCACACATGAACGCACATGTCAACAAGAAGCCCCCGAAAAATAGTGGTGCCAAACACAGACATCCAAGTGTGGATACAAGACATCGCCTTTCTCCACATCCATGTGAGCAAGCTCTCCTGACTCTGAAGGATTTAAATTTTAAACACACGAAGAATAACCTCCAGTGGACCTCCACATACGGAAATGTAAACATCACAGGCATCACAGCCATAGCGCAAAATGTCACAGGCATCGCAGTCATAGCGCAACAACGAAACATACAACTTAAGGGAGATCCGGAAGTTTTAAACAATTCAAACCAGTGCTGGGCCAGCAACCGGCCAGTTGAGCTACCCTGGTCCAACCGGAGCCGTACCAGCCCAGGGGGGGGTGAACCGGGAAACCGGTTTTGAAAAAAAGTGCCCAAATATCTCTTTTTTTCTTTTCTTTTTCAGCAGATTCCGACTGCGCTCTTCAAGAGCTGTTGGAACCCACAATAAAATTTTCGAGGTGCAATATTTTTCAGGGGGCTTCCAGAGGGGGGCAGGGGGTTATTATTAACATATTCAGGGGGTTACTATTAACATATTCAAGCAACTTACGTCCATTCTTGGGCTTGCACCTCGGACGGCTTGCACAGATGGCAGGGGCGTTGCAGAAGGATATAATCTCAGCAGAGCCTCGTCACAAACATAGTGTTCCCCTCGTGGCTGAGGATGAAAGAGAATCAGATGTTGCCAATGGTAACTGGTCCGTTGGACCACAAGATGACAAATTGGAGAAGGGGCCTACCCGACCCACATCTTAAGAAAAATGTGTGGTGGCTCTCCACTGCGGGATATCCTCTGCCCGTTTTTCTTAGGAAATGGGGTCCTGGCCGATCTTTGCCGCTGATCTGCGACAATCGGCGGCCAAGATTGGCCACTTTTTGGACTTTTAAAATCCGGTCCTACAGGACTGGGTTTCGAAGTTGAGGGGCAGGGCCCACCCCCACGAGGCCTCGGGAAGACATGCGCCGGCAAAAAAAAGAAAATTCAGGCCCTAGCAAAAATGCACTGGGGGCAACCCGGAGGGAGCCGGCCCTGACCACTGGCCGGTCCAACCAGGAGGACCGCAGATGGGGTAGGGGTCCCCGGTCCATCCGGGGACCAGCCCTGATTCAAACAGTGATAGTAGCATCCAGTCCATGACGGCTTATACGCACATCACATGCACCTTTGCAATGGTTGGCTTATACGCACATTCCATGCAGATTTGCAATGGTTGGCCCATACGTGTACATAACATCCAGCTTTGAAATGGTCCGCTTTCCCAGCAACCATGATTATAGCGGTGCCAACTGGAATCAAGATATTTAGTTGGATCGCCACTATGTGGGGAGGTTCAATACAATTAAAAACACCATGTTATTCGCTGTAGGATTCATCTTCTTGTTTACCATAGGAGGACTTACTGGAATTGTATTAGCTAATTCTGGTCTTGACATTGCTCTACATGACACTTGTTATGTAGTAGCACACATTCATTACGTACTTTCTATGGGAGTCACAGTATTACGAACATCACATCCAGCTTTGCAATGGTCATTTCAACAATGAGAACAGAGACCACAGAGGCGACATTTCAAACATTGATAGTCCATGACAGCGTATACGCACATCACATGCAGCTCTGCAATATGCACATCGCAGGCAGCAGCTTTGCAATGGTCCTATGCGTACATCACATCCAGCTTTGCAATGGTCGGCTTATACGGACATCACATCCAGCTTTGCAATGGTCGTTTCGACAATGAGAACAGAAGCTAGAGAGGCAACAATTCAAACAGTGATAGCAGCCCATGACGTCTTATATGCAGCATCACATCCAACTTTGCAATGGTCGTCTAGAGGGTGAGAAGAGAAACTAGAGTGAATACAGCAACTCACGTGTCGAGGAAAACATCACCCAGGGCACTGCGCTTCAGATGATCAGGCTTCAAGGCAACATCTGTAAAGTACAGCTGGTCCGCTTTCACGCCATGCAGCATGGCCGCTGCCAATGACAGAGTCCAAGAAAGAAAAGAAGTTAGCAAAGCAGAAATCCTCCACCTTCCAAATGCATAGTGAAAGGAGGGGCATCCAAAACTTGTATAAAAAAAAGAAAGAAAAGGTGGCCCGCCCCCCAGTGTTTACTGCTTTCCATAGAAAACCACCTTCGATTGACTTGGCATTGTCATATTCATGCAAGACTCTACACCAGGACTTGAACCGGTGATCTGTTTATCAACAGTCACATTCAACCACAAGGAGTCAGAATCTCAGGTGTCCTCTTTCCTTCTGATTCTTGAGTCTTGCAAATCTTTTTCACTCCTATTCTTGCGAAACTTTTCCACTCCCCTAAGAGAGCGTCCTGCCAACGCAGGCGAGATTACCTTAATGCAATCCCACCTTCTGTCGCAGGCGAGATTCACGCAATCCCTAATTGACAACTCTGGGTTCGGTTGGGGAGCACACAGCATCACATGCACAATCAACAAGGTGATTTCCACAAATTCACGAACCTGCACGTAATCTGCTCTCTCCGGACTCTGGGAATCGCAGAAGCCACAAGGCGCTGTTCGGCACACGCTTCAAGATGTTACACCTAGAGTAGCACACAAGGAGGAGGAATAAGGCAACAACAACGCGTTCAGCAAAACCTCCAACAACAGCAACAGAAATAAGATAACTACGGACAAAACTGACTGTGCGGTTGACCTGCTCGTATTTGGGATCATACCCTCAATTGTGGCTGCAGGTCAAAACATGCACATGCACAAAACAATCCATTTGTCGGTGCAGCACGTGGTCAGAGGGATAAGTCACTGCTCACGCTTTACCCTCAATTGTTCAATTGTTCTCTGTACAATGGATATACAATAGAATTTGCATCACCATCTATACCTGGTATACCATAAATTTCATACAGATTTTTCATTTTTAAATGACTTTTATTTTTACGTTGAAAATAGATCCTGATGGCCCTCACTCCCTCTCCATTTAGGGAATGCAAATGTGGTTCCAACTAACCGGCAACTTGAATACCAAAATAGTCAGTGCTATCCACTTCAAGCGTCCTTCAGTCTAGGCTGCAGGACACCACACCAGCATTGATAGCCCCTTGAGGGAGGATAAGACTGTCAGATAGCCTGTCCTAAGTTCCTCCCAGTTTGCGCATGTGCATGTCACAAGTCTCAAGAGCTGTACTCCGCTGCCGTAAGGGCACTCCAGAATCATAAGGGAATATGCAAGTAGAATCTTCTTCGAGCAAAGGGCTAAGGGAAACGAGAGTGCTGAAAACGCGATGCATACCATCTGGCAAAAATATTTGGATCTGTCTTGTAAAGCTGATTGAAGCAGCAGTACAGCACTCTGTCTTCTGGAAGACCATAGTCGGAACGCTTCGGAAGTTTGTTCGCGTCCAATACATCCATATTGCACTGCGACAGAGAAAGAGAAGCACACACCCGCATTGAAATTGTTTAGGGGACAAGTCAACTGCTGTCTTCCTCCATACAGCACACATAGCAACTCTGAATACTCCTCTAATTATGCTCCTCCTCAGTCTCTGCAAGGACATATTCGCCGACTTGGTATCCACAGTGGTGGACTCGACAGAGCAGACGCTTTGCGTCGGATGTACCACCATATAAGAGAACCACAGATATCTGGAAAAGGCTCTTCACTAGAGGTGGTTGTGTCTTGTCTGGGCAGGGCACTCCATCCCGTCTACACCCTTCTTCATCCCAGTGAGCAATAGAACATAATCATTCCCCCAGTTATTTTACTCGAAGACAGCATTTTGGGTTTGAAGCTGCTGTTTGACATTCGCATTTCGTCAAACAGAGGCCAAGCACAAGGTCAAATGAGCGTCATTTCTTCTTTCTTTTTTTTTCGTTTTCCCAGAAAGGCAGATCATGCTTCGAGGATGGGATATGGCGGCGACGGGAATGGGGAGAGGATCCATCCTCCCCTCACTCCCATTGGTCCACATCATTTCTCCTTTTTTTGCCTTTTCGTTTTCCAAAAAAGGTGGATCATGCTTTGAAGATGGGCTATGCAAAGTGAGCATATCTGACGTAAAACAGATGCCTTTTTTGCCAAAAGGTCGATCCTAAAGGCAGATCCGCAGTTGCCTTTTCCAAACTTCTAGGCAGCTTGTACTCTTACCACTCTTATAGCCATCTCCCGATTTACGTGCTTGCTCTTTTTGAAGGAATTTGGGCCGTTCCTCGATTCATGCGTATTGTCCTTTTGCAGCAGAGCCACGCTAGTCTTCTCTGTACGCACAACAACCCTGAACTTTCATCCGCGCTAAACCTCACACTCAGCAGGGCCGTTCCTCGATTCATGCTTTCCTCTACTGAGCACTAGTTGTTGCCGGAATAGGATTCATGAAATGTCTGTAAGCCAAGAGACCTGCTTTGCACTATGTAGTCGATGCCTGCACGAATGCAAGAATGCGAAGAGGAGATGACATCACTTTGTGAAATCGATATAGGAAAGGGCAGGACGTGGCGCTCGGAAAAGGAGAGCATACCCGTTTGTAGTCATTAACGAAGTAGCAGTGCGGCAGGTAAGCCAGCTTCTCAGAGTAGTAGTGTGCATATCTTGGTGGAGATACGATCTTTCAGAAGACAAAAATATAGAAACAAACACAGAAATACAAAACGTCAGTGTTGACGCTCAGAACCAGGTATGAAACTTACACCCGGTTCAGACTTCGTTGCCCTGCCAGAGAGTTTACTGTGGTCAGAGGATCCATTACCGCAGTTAATAGCCGAAATCAGTCCAGGATGTCCCCTAGCATGAGTACACCCAATGTCCAACAAGTATTCTAGAAGTGGATTCCCAGCCCTCACCACCGAGCGGATCCCCAGCCCTCACCCACAGCAGCCGCAGCTTCCCAAAACTTATCAGGGCCCTCTCAAAAGTCCTACCTACCGTCTTCACCCGAATATAGCACCCAGGAATTATCCTCGCATCTGGACAGAAAATTGCCCAAATTACGGCCATAACGACCGAGCGTTATATTCAGGAAAAGACAGTAGTCTGAGCATGCATGCTCTGAACTTGATTAATGACCAAGCAAATAGTCCCAAGACGACTTCATGCCTCTCCATCAAATTTTGTGCCGATCACATGGAACACTTCTACATATCTCAAACAAGAACGTGGGCTCGACCTGCATCCACCTCCTCCGCTTGGAAGCGTCAAAAGCAAATGCCCAGTCAATAAATAGCAAATACATTGTATGACAGGTTCCGAGACTGAAGAATATGATCTCTTTATCAGCATACTCAAGGCCTATGAGCAGGTTTCAGAAACCTATCACCAGAAATGACACCTGTTAGCAGACTCAGGACATACCAGCAGGTTTCAAGAGAAATAAAAAGTTACCCTATGAGAAAAACGCAAAATTTCCAAAAACGAAAAGCTCATGGAAGACCTCGCATGGGTGAGCCAAGTTGAAACCAGAATCACGAAAGCCGAGAACACACCAATTATGAACGAGCTGGACACCGAAGTCTCAAAACAAAGAAAGCCCCACTTCTCTCCCGGCATTTTGCATGGGCACTGGGCAGCGTTTTGGGGCTCAATGAGGCCTGAAGCCTTACAGATAGCCGTGTGGCAGTGCAGGCTAATATAAGTAATATAAGTTATAAGAGCCACGTCACCACAAGCTCAGAGAACCTGTTAAATGTCGACCACCGACTTACCTCGTCGGTTATAAGGTACTGGATGTAGGAGGCACCAGTCGTTGATGGAAATCCCATATATGACACTTGAATCGGTGCCGGTTGCAGTGCAAAGATCTCATTGCGTGCTCCCTGCATGCACATTCATCCAAAACAGACATTCCACATCATTAACATCCAACAGCCATTCATCTCTCGAGTCTCTACTGTTCCACAGAGATTAACCTGTGTTTTTTTTTTGCTTTTTTTTTTTTGGGCCCTCTCTCGATTTCTGCATGTCATCCTTGCACACTCATGCTAGCCTTCTCTTGATCACTCCAATTTAACAGATGTCCCTAGGAACACCTGCATGTTGTTCTCTCCTATTTATATTAGGGAAAAAATGTGCTCTGATCTATTCACAACTTTTAGACAGGAACATTAAAGATGCTAGCCTGCACGTTTTTCTTTCTATTGACAATTTTAGAAACATGTTTTTCTTTCTATTGACAATTTTAGAAAACGCACTAAAACGTTTTTCAGTAACGTCCTTCAGAATGCATCCCACCTGGGCAAGAAGCACAATCCGATATATCAATTAATATTCCCACCTCTTAAAAGCTTTCCAGATGTTCCCCTCTTAAACCACCAGTACTTGGCCCAGCTATCGATGCCGAGCCTGGAATGCCCCTGCGCGCCGATTTTCGCGCAAGCGCCAGGGTACCGTTTCGAAATTGTTTTGGCTGGCGCTTCCAGCCATTGAGGTCCAGTACCCCGAAGCCCTAAAGGCGCGGCGCGTTAACGGGAAAGCGCCGCGGCTGATAGCTGGGCCAAGTACTGGTGGTTTAATGCCCCAGATTTTTTGACACTTCTCCAGTCGTAATTGAGTCAACCGATATATAAATCGATCTTCCCACCTCTTAAAAGCTTTCCAGATGTTCCCCTCTTAATGCCCCAGCTTTTTTGACACTTCCCCGGTCATCATTGAGTCAAGGATACCTCACAGACTCTCCAACAGACACACAATCCATAAGACAATCTTCTTCTAAACTGCATTGACAATCCAAACCCCCTAGAGCCTTCTGATAGCTTTCACCTGCAGCACACTTTACCTGCAAGTAAGAGCACCTAATAATTGCATTTACAATCCAAAACCCCTAAAGCATTCTGATAGCTTTCGCCTGCATCATGCTTTACCTGCGAGTATCAGCACCAAATACAGAAGGACAGAGCAACCAAGAAAATGCACCCAGCCATGTTGGGTAGGTGACCTGCACTTCACAACCTGCTAAAACACCATAACTCCTAACAGTTATTGATGAGTGTATTGAATAAATGTCTTCAGGTGACATCCCAACGAGGACGCTGCTTCGAAGCATCAAACAAGAGCAGGATCTCACCTTTGTGTAACCGTTCAAGTTCACTAGAATCTGGATTCCATCTGATTGGATCCGACGAGCAATTGCGGCCGCATCCAGACTCGATACATCAAGGAAATGTTCCGCTTCTGTCTGTATTCGCTCTCGCCACTCACTCCTGTCACTTGGGCTCAACGCATAGCAAAATGCCTGCAGTCATGTTTTACATTCAGCCATTCACAGAGAGAGAGAGAGAGAGAGAACACACCAGATAGCACAATTAACCATTGCATAATGCACATTAACCCTTGCATGATCCCAAATTGACCCTTGCACGACGAGCCCTTAAACCACCACTACCTCCGAACCTGTTTTTACCAACCCTGAATTTCACTGCGCACCGAGTTTTGTCGACCCTGGGTCCCATTGTATTTTCTTTTCTGGATCTCTACGGAAATGAAAGAAAAAAATTGAAAAAACGAAACAAAAGGAAAAAAGTTTAAAAAACAACTGGTGGGAGACTTTAAAGCAGCTGGAGGGCGTTACACCCCTCGGCAAAACACGCTCTCCGAAAAACAAAAAGAAAAAAAAGAAAAAAAGTTTAAAAAATGCAACAACTCTATGGACGCAAAAACAGCTGGATACAGAATCTTGACTACATGTGAGATTGGAGCCCTGTCAATTGCAACAACTCTTTGGGCGCAACAACTCCGTGGAAAGCAAAACGAAAAACAAAGCAAAAAAAAAGACAGAACACGAAAGAAACCAATATTCTGGTCAGATGCAGCTCCTTTTTTCCTTTTCTTTTTTATACTTTCGTTTGCAAGTGTCACCTGCTGTCCATGGAAAGCGCCCTGCTTGTTGGCAGGGCACTAAAACGTACTGAGAAGAAAAAAAACAAACAACAAAAAAACAAAAGACGACACAAGCAAATATTCTGAGCAGCTGCTTTTTTTTGTTCTTCCCTTTCAGTCGGGCCCACAAGGCCCAAACGTTTTCTTCTCTCCGACCTTCTGCCAGACCCCCAAAAAATGCAGTGTGACGTACATTCCCATGTGTACCAACGCTGGCTAAGGTAGTGGTGGCTTAAGGCAAACTCCTCCCCCTACCCTATCCTTGCCTCTCCCCCTGTTTTTTCCCCTTCGATGGCCTTCCCACATTCCCATCAATGGCCACTAGAGGGCTGGCCATGCGCCCTCTCATTTCCTTTTTTTTTCTATCCCCCATTCCTATAGACACCCAGCCCCACCCCTAACCCTGCCCGAGCACTGCTGCAGATCCACCCCAGCCCTCGGCCTCACTTATGCCCTTCTCCCTCTTGTTTTCCATCCCGTGTCCCCATCAACACCCGCCCCGGCCCCTTCTGCAGACCCGCCCCAGCCATCAGCCTCACCCATGCCCCACTCCCACTTGTGTTTCATTCTTCTTTCCTTTCCATCCCCCCTACAAGGGTACCTGTTGCGGCTTCGCTTGCAAGGAAATGAGGGGAAAATGGGAGAAATGAGTCGGGGTGGGGGGATCGGGGGTTTGGGGGTTTGGGGGGTTGGGGTTAAGGGGGTGGGGGTCGGGGGTATTTTGAGACTCACCTCAGAAACCTGTGCAAAGACAGCTTTTTTTTCCCCTGCATTTTCATGGGGCTTACCTCTGAGATTCCTGTTGAAGCTGATCTCTGGTGCGGGCACACGTGCACGCGTCATTTTTCCTTTTGTTGCTTGTCATCGTCGTCGTCATTTTGGGGGGTGGGGTAGTTAGTTAGGGGTCTCTCTCTCTCTCTCTCTCTCTCTCTCTCCGGTGCGCGCATCGTTTTTCCTTTTTTTTTTTTTAAAAAGAACTCCTGATGCTCCACAGGTCAGATATCAAACTGATCGGAACAGATACTACATACACTTGCTTGTCGTCATCCTCCTTTTGGGGGGTGTCTCTCTGTCTCCGGTGCGCGCATCGTTTGATCGTCATCGACGTCGTCGTTTTGTGGGGCGGGATAGTTAGTTAGTTTGGGGTTCTCTCTCTCTCTCTCTCTCTCTCTCTCTGCTGCGCGTTGTTTTTCCATGTTTTCTTTTTTTTTTTTGTCAATAAAGATCTCCCGATGGTCCACGGGTCAGATATCAAACTGATCGGAACAGATACTACACTTGATCGTCATCGTCGTCATCGTTTTGAGGGGCGGGAAAGTTAGTTTGTGGGTTCTCTCTCTCTCTCTCTCTCTCTCTCTCTCTCTCTCTGGTGCCAGCTGTTTTTCCGTGTTTTTTTTTTTTTTTTGTTAATAAAGATCTCCAGATGGTCCACGGGTCAGATATCAAACTCATCGGAACAGATACTACACTTGATC